AAAACAGATGGTGGATAATAATTCATCACACCTTGAAAGTTTCAATGCTGCTGCTGCTGCTGCTGCAGGAATGAACACCAGGTTCATTTGACAGGTGTTCCATTGCCACTTGCTACTGTTCGAGATAATATAAACCTTTTCTCTCCTGCATGCCTTGATTTCTTTTCTTTCTTTCTTTCTTTTTTTTTTTTTTACAAAATTTGCAATACCCGAAAGGCTGTCTGAGTTGGGACAACATGTGTGTCTAGGGAAAGTCTTTCTGTGTGAATACAAAAAAAAAAAAAAAATGTAATCCCTGGACCTGTTATTCACTTCTTTGGTTAGAAATACAAATAATTTTTGCTAACTTTTTCATATATGCTCTTTGCCAAATCAAATCTAAAGCTTAAAAGTACATTTCTAAAATAGACATTCTGACTCAGTAACTAAGAATAAGACTGAAAATTTTTTTTTTTTTTTTTTTAAAAAAAGATCAACTACACAGACTTTCACGCCTGGAAAGCTGTTGACAAATTCAAATCCTCAAAGGAGTTACACTGCGTTGCTTTAAGCAGACTCAGAATGTGTGGAAGGTTGACCTCAAAGCTACCTTTGAGGATCTATTCTCTTGACCTTCTCCAGGTGCTATGCACACAGCTCATGGTGTAGACAAGAGCTGAACGAAGGGTTCTAATCCAGGGAATGTGTGTGAACAGGCAAATCCAGGAGGAGGGCTCCAGAATGATGCATCAGCAGTGACAGGCTAGAAAGATCCAACATTATCATGGAAAGAAGTAAGAGAATCATTTGATTAGTTTTTATCCACAAAAAGTCTTTCTTTTATGATTTTAGAATTTGAGTATGAAAACAAGAGATGGGTCTCACAGAGGTCAAAACCTAAACTCTAAGAATGCAAGGCACACACTCTACATAAATAAGAACAGAATTTTTGGAGGAACAAAAGGAGAATCTAAGACAAAATGTCTCCAACTCCTTCCCCGAGGGGATTCTGAGGTGTGCCCTACATTCTTTCCAGGGCCCCAGTGCAATTGGGCCCAGTTGCCCACAATGGTAAACTGATCAATAACTGGCCCTTTATGTGTTCCTTCCCTTCCCTATGCCACATCCCCGCGCCCTTATCTGCGCTTCCTTGGATCATCTCCAAAGAAATTACTTGCCAACCCACCCGTATCTCAGTGTCTGCTTCTGAAGAAACCCAACCTAAAACAATGTGTGTGCACATGAGTCCCTCTGAGCTGCGAGTACACGTATTTCTGCATTTTTTCACTGGGGGCAGTAATGAATAAGGAGCAGTATAAGGCTCAGTCTGAAAACAGAAAAGAGCTCTGGTCCTGCAGACAAGGGGCTCTGAGTGTAGGTCCACCACTATGTATTCGTTTCCTCCGGCTGCTAGAACAAACAGCCACAAACTTGTCTATGTGTTACAGACAACGGAAATTTATTCTCCCACAGTTCTGGAGGCTAGATGTCCAAAATCAAGCTGTTAGTAGAGCCATACTCCCTCTGAAGACTCTAGGGAAGGAAACTTCCTTGCCACTTCCTAGCTGCTGGTGGTGATCTGCCACCCTTGCTGTTCTTGGTTTGCAACTTCATCACTCCAGTCCCTGCTTCCATCTTCATGTGATGTTCTTCCTGTATCTCTGTGCATCTTCACATGGCCTTCTTACAAGGACATCGGTATTAAATTTAGGAACCTCCCCCCAATCTACTATGACTTCATCTTAACTTGATTGTATCTGCAAAGCTTCTATTTCCAAATAAGATAACATTCACAGGTACCAGCAGGATGGGCTCAAACATATTTGGGGAGGGACACGATTCAACCCACAACATGCTATATCCACCAGCTAGACAGAAAAATCAAGGCAAATAGCCCTCTCTCCCTGCGAACTTATGCACACCAAATATGAAGATGGTGATAATGATGGTGATGATGAGAATTTTAAAAATCGACTCCAGCCAGGAATAAAGCCCTCAGCATAGTTAGGATATACAAAAACCCATAGCCAATGCTTTAATTTTCTAGGCTAGTTATAGTCCCTGGAATCTTTGCTCTGGGAATTCAGTGACTGCCTTGGAGCTCTTCTGCACTCTCTCCTAAGAATGGTATGCATTACTATGCCAAGATAGTGCCTTCCCTAGATGAAGTGAGAGCCAAAAGCACCAGCTCATCAACTAACTCTTTAGTCCCTGACTTTAGCTGAATCGTGCTTTAGTTGCTCCACAAAGCCTAGACAGCCAGGAAGGGAGCAGCCATGTGTTTTCACCATTAGTCTCTTGCATCTGAGTGTGTCCCTTGTTAAAGGTAATCCTTCGCGCAGCTCTACACACACACCTGCTTTCCAAGTTAAATAAGCCCAGGTTCTTGAGTAATTCACAAACAAGTCATGGTATTTGAGCCATATAAATGTACCTTCAGCTTCTTTGATGCAATTTCTCTTATGATTACTAATGAGAAGGCATTGCCAAAAAAAAAAAAAAAAAAAAAAATCTAGTTGTTTCAGACAAGCATATAAAAAATGCTATGAACAAGGCTGACGCCATGGCACTCACTATAGACTGTGCAATTGACAAGAACTTGATAGTGAAGGCAAAAAAAAAAAAAAAAAAAAAAGGGACGGTTATTGAACAACCAGAGCAAAACATCCATCACTAATTATCTGAAAGCCCAAAGATCCAGCATCCTGATTAACACAGGCCTGGAAAAAGCACAGAGTAAAACTGGACATTTATTCTTCAATTAAAGGGCAGGATGATAACTGCCTTTTAGATGTTCTGGGGAGCAACTCTTCAACTTCATCACTCCTTGAGCAGAAAAGTAATTTAAAAGACAAAGAAGTGCCCACTTAGGGTCTATGAACATAGCATCCAAATGCTCTAGTAAGGATGACATGCCCGACTTTTTTCAGCTTTTATCTCTTCATCAAATTAGTCTCTTGCTGAGATAAAAACAAAAAGAGCAGCTTACAGATTTATATATCCAGCAGTATCTCAACTACTTGAAAATGTACACAGAGGGGGAAAAAGAAGAAAACACAGAAAATTACTAACTATAATAATGTTTGAGTGTTTTATTACTTTCCTTTCAATACATTTGCATTTTCCAAGTTTTCTACAGTGAGCAATATTGTTACTCATTTATGATTAATGATTTAATAAATGCTGAATGTTTATAATGTACATGATACTATGTCAAGAAAAAATTTCACATATTATATCACTTAATTCTGACCAAAAAGGGGAGAAAAAAGAACCTATAAAGAAAGTATTAGCCCCATTAGATAACTTGCCTGAGATCATTAGCTAGTATATGGTAGTCAGGATTCAAACCCAAGTCTATATAACTTCATTGTCCCCCATATATTGTTTTCATAAACAGGAGAGGAGCTATTCTAAAAATAGTATCTGAGATAGTAAAAATAATGGGATGAACTTGTGAGAAACAAGCTTCCTGAAATGCAAGTAAAAATAATCAGTACACCTGGAGAGGATAAAAATCTGTAAGAAAATATTTTATCTCAGATTTATACAACACCAGTTACCAGTTTCATTAGGAAAATGCACACAACCAGCCACAGCACCTTATGCTGTGCCTGGAAACCGAGGTCATAACAGGTAGATTCTGCATCTCTGAGGAGCACCAGCACAGTGATCCAGTCTGAGTCCACCTCCACCACTTACAAAGGTTTCTGGCCTCAGTCAGTCCACTTGTTCTTGCTGGGATTCCATGTTTTAAGTTTTCATTTATCTATCCATTAATTCAGCAAATATTTCTTCTGTGCCTAAGAAGCCAGTCATTGTGCCAGCCCTGGGGGCAAGTGTAGTAAATAAAAGAAACACAGTCTTAGTCCTCAGGGAGCTGAGCATCTCAACTCCGAATAAAGATACCTGCCTCATGGAGTTGTTGCAAAGACTTATGGACGAATGTAAAGCAGCTGACTCAGCACTTGACACTTGGAAGACACTCAATACATTTTACCACTTCTATAATCTCAGTTTTTCCGGCTATAAAATGGAATTTATCTGATCTCACTTGGCTGGATGTAAGAGTATCGATCTCTATAATCCTTTAATAACTCATTTGCCCTGATCCAGAAAACACCGTGGTTTTTTAAAGATGCTTCAGAGAATAAGGGATCAAAGGACAAAATGAGAATTTAGACATTTTAGTTGAAGTTTGTGATCGATTATATTCCATTTACTTTTCAAACATTTTTTTGTTTTGACTATCAAAATTCACAATACTCTATTTAATACCCCCATTGTAAAAATTGATAATGCACTAGGAAAGCTCTAAGAATACTTATGTAGGCAAATTGTTATGAACTTAGCTTTCATGATTTAAGAAGTTAAGGGAAAAGTCTGTAAGAACTATGTTAAGCAAGTTCATGCACACTCTCTATTTTATGAACACAATATGGGAGTCTGTAACAAAGGATTTACATAGATTTTCTCTAATACTCCAAACACTCCTGTGAAGTTAGATATCTTCCTCCATCCAGAAACAGAAGCTAGGGGATGTTAAGCAGCTTACCAAGTTATACCAATAAGTGTCAAGGCCTGAATGTGAACACCAATTGTCTGAATTCACAACTTACCCTTTTTTGCAACAACACACTTGTGCTCTAGTAACAGGGAATTCAATACTTCCCAAAGCAGTTTGTTTCTTCTTTTAAAAGCTCTTACAACTCATGAGTTCCTCCTAACATTGAGCTGAAATCTATCCTCTTCTGGTAGTCACCATTGGCTTTAGTTTCATGCTTCAGTTAAATTAGTTAATCTAATTTCTCTTCTGGATGAGAGCACTTCAGATATTTGGAAACACCTTTCACTTCACCCCTTCTCCCTCTCCACCAAGTTTTCCTTTCTGCAATATGAAATAATCCTATTTTTCTGCTGCTCTTTAAATTACATTGTTTTAGGTCCCTACCCTCTTCCTGCTCAGTTCCAATAATCCTAGATTCATGTGTTTACATCACTTTTAAGAAAACTAGCCCATATTGAACTCGAGTTGGAAGAGGCGAGTCCGGTCTCAAAATGGAGGGCCATGATCCAAAGGAACCAGAGCAGTTGAGAAAACTGTTTATTGGTGGTCTGAGCTTTGAAACTACAGATGATAGCTTAAGAGAACATTTTGAGAAATGGGGCACACTCACAGATTGTGTGGTAATGAGAGACCCCCAAACAAAACGTTCTAGGGGCTTTGGTTTTGTGACTTACTCTTGTGTTGAAGAGGTGGATGCAGCAATGTGTGCTCGACCACACAAGGTTGATGGGCGTGTTGTGGAACCAAAGAGAGCTGTTTCTAGAGAGGATTCTGTAAAGCCTGGTGCCCATCTAACAGTGAAGAAAATTTTTGTTGGTGGTATTAAAGAAGATACAGAAGAATATAATTTGAGAGACTACTTTGAAAAGTATGGAAAGATTGAAACCATAGAAGTTATGGAAGACAGGCAGAGTGGAAAAAAGAGAGGATTTGCTTTTGTAACTTTCGATGATCATGATACTGTTGATAAAATTGTTGTTCAGAAATGCCACACTATTAATGGGCATAATTGTGAAGTGAAAAAGGCCCTTTCAAAACAAGAGATACAGTCTGCTGGATCGCAAAGAGGTCGGGGAGGTGGATCTGGCAACTTTATGGGTCGTGGAGGAAACTTTGGAGGTGGTGGAGGTAATTTTGGCCGTGGTGGAAACTTTGGTGGAAGAGGAGGCTATGGTGGTGGAGGTGGTGGCAGCAGAGGTAGTTATGGAGGAGGTGATGGTGGATACAATGGATTTGGAGGTGATGTGGCAACTATGGCGGTGGTCCTGGTTATACTAGTAGAGGGGGCTATGGTGGTGGACCAGGATATGGAAACCAAGGTGGTGGATATGGCGGTGGTGGAGGAGGATATGATGGTTACAATGAAGGAGGAAATTTTGGAGGTGGTAACTATGGTGGTGGTGGGAACTATAATGATTTTGGAAATTATAGTGGACAACAGCAATCAAATTATGGACACATGAAAGGGGGCAGTTTTGGTGGAAGAAGCTCGGGCAGTCCATATGGTGGTGGTTATGGATCTGGTGGTGGAAGTGGTGGATATGGTAGCAGAAGGTTCTAAAAACAGCAGAAAAGGGCTACAGTTCTTAGCAGGAGAGAGAGCGAGGAGTTGTCAGGAAAGCTGCAGGTTACTTTGAGACAGTCGTCCCAAATGCATTAGAGGAACTGTAAAAATCTGCCACAGAAGGAACGATGATCCATAGTCAGAAAAGTTACTGCAGCTTAAACAGGAAACCCTTCTTGTTCAGGACTGTCATAGCCACAGTTTGCAAAAAGTGCAGCTATTGATTAATGCAATGTAGTGTCAATTAGATGTACATTCCTGAGGTCTTTTATCTGTTGTAGCTTTGTCTTTTTCTTTTTCTTTATATCAGGTATATTGCCCTGTAAATTAGTGGTACAGAAAATTAGGAATTTTTAACTTTTCAAAAAAAAGAAAACTAAATACAACACCACAGGTGTGGTCTGAAGAGCACAGAGTTGAATTTCATTATCACCATCCTTGTCCCAGATATTACACTTCTATTTATGTAGCTCAATAGCAAATCAGCTATTTCATTCCAGCTACTTCATGCTGCTGACTCACATAGTATTTCCTATAGTTATGATAAGGCCTCTAGGGCTTTTTTACATGCACAACTATGAAGCTGCCTTGCCAACATCCTATATCTGTGCCTTGTTTATATGATTTTTTTTCCATGTTAAGCTACACCTCTTAGATTGGGAAGGCTGAAATGAAGCGCTAAGACTTTTTTGATTCGTTTCTGTCATTCAATGGATTCCCTGTCCCTCTCAGATCCATTTCATTGTAAATGTTCTCCCACGTCATTGAGTAAAAATATTGACCAAACAGGGAAGAAAATAGAGTTTGGAATTTCTGTCTCTCACCCCATAGACTTCTTCGTAGCTCATAGGCAGGGTCAATTTAACCACTTGGGAATTCACCTACTGGTTCTAGTCTCCAGCCCATCTGCTCCTCTGCGATTCCTCCCCAAGGAGTCTCAGAGAGACCATAACATGTGCTTAGCTGACGCAGACATTCCCTGTCTGCTGTGTGCCCTCACCCCCAGCACGGTATAACCTGGTACTCCTGGCACCCAGGAGTCTCCTGTTATAGGATATACAAAGTCCCTGGTTTCTTTCTTGTTTTCTTTCTCTACCGTGAAAGGACTGTTCTCACCAAATGCTCATCTTGTTGCTGCTAAAGTTGGAGACTTTTCTGCTTTCCAGATAGGACCAGCGTCGAGGGCATACAACTTGTGTGCAGAACCCCACATTCACATGGGCCCTGCACTCAGCTTAATGCTCTGCTCTCACCATTTTAAAATGCTTAATAATTTATTTATTCCATTTTTAATTTATCTAAATGTAGATGACATTAAATAGTAAATTAAAAATATTATGACAGGGTGAGATGAAGACTACAGAAGAAAGGAGAAACTTTATATTTTGGTATCTTTAACAGCAATATTTTCTTGCTTTTTGAACAAGCGGTCTCATATTTTCTTTCTGCACCGGGCCCTATATAATGTAGCTGGCCTTGATTCCAGGGTGGGTCTTTAACATATTCAACAACAAGTACAGCATGGGCCCCATGGAACAGATGACTAACCAATCAGAAATTGGTGCCAATTGATATGTTAAAGCCACAGCATACCAGCTGAATATTGGTCTTGCTGCTTTTTGTTGCATTGGCATAGTGAACTGTAAAGCCAGTGAGATTATAAAATGCCTCGACATGCACTGAACAACTTCAGGCTGTGTCACTGTCAAACCTACTCACTCTCTTATACTTAACCTATCTCCAGACTGCCACACTACCTCAAACCGTCTTTGTTTCTTGTTCTGGACTTGAAAAACATAAAAATACACTATTTCGGAAGAAAGCTCAAAGTGCAAATTCCATTAGAACCTTGCAAAAGTTATGGCAATTATTAGCTGATTTACCAATTCCCATAGAGACCATACCAATCTCAGACCTATTACCTTCTCATTTATTAACCTCATCCTTTGAAATATTTCTGGTTGAAGAATTTTGATGTATCAGATGTTTTTCTAAAGGCAAAGGAAGAGGGTAATGACTATAAGCTTTTCATACCTCAGTTGTCTGACATAGTCCACAAGAGCTTCCCCTTCCAAAGCCACTGATTGCCATTGGTGTTCTTACATACATAGATTTGGTGACTTTTAATTGAAAAGCAATCATAACAAGGACAATTCTCTGATTCTTTTTCTTTCAAAAGTGAGGGGAAACCAGTTCTTTCAGAGATCACCCCCAGCAGAAGATTAAGTATAATCTCAGTCTCCTTGTCTGCTTTATCCTGCCACCCCTATAGCTGTAATCACCCCAGAGGTGACAGCTTGTGAGTTCTCACGAAGGAGTGCCCCAAACCATCCTGACATGGAGCTGGTTGGGGTTCCAAAGAAAGGAGGACTAACCACCAGCATGATCAGTCCAAAGCATTTATTAGTGGAACTTACATATGGAGGGCTGCAGAAATCTTCATCGTGGATTTCAAGAGAAAATGAATGCTCTATCGAGGTACGCCTGCAGTGAGGGGGTCAGGGTATGGAGTTTGTATGAGGGTTTACACAATTTGGCTCAGGGCCAGAACCAGTTTCTTTCAGTGTTTTGGGCAACAACCTAGATACTTTTATCTGTGCCTGGAAATGTTCAAGGACTCAGTTTGGATTTAAGCCTGTGGGGAAAACCTGCAGCTGGCTACGTCACAGAGTGGTCAAAGCACTTCATCTGTGATTTTCAGCTAGGTAGGACATAGAAAGCCGAGGTGGAGGACTGGGGGACCTACAATCCACCTGCCTGGATAGCTGAATTCAGGCTCTTACACTCTCACATGCCCACCTCTTCTGCAATGTTCCCTTAGCCAGCAGGAACAGGTAGATGCCTGCAAGGTCCTTTTCCCTAAGTGTATGGGACACAGCAAACAAAACCCACACCAACAGTATATACAAGTGCGGGTGACAAGACCTGAAATTACAATTCCCAAAAGACTTAACTAGCAGAGCTTTCCACCAAGCATCCCATCCTGAAAACCATGATTTTATTGTAGACCATCAGGGGTCATCTCCCATGTGGTCAATTAGCTGTGATTGCTTTTGTAAATGAGGGATGGATTGATTAATTTGGCTTCTTTGTCTGGGATATAGACACAACATTCAGTTTTTAAAAGGGCACAGGCTGTGAGGACGTCTAGCGACCTTCAGTTCCGTGGGACCCCTTTTCTCATTGCAGCTGTTTCCATGTTCAAGGCCCCCAAGGCATGCCGGTTGCCGTTCAAAGCTTGGGAGACAAATCTTTGAGGGGCGTGATATTAATTCGGCCTCCCTGAGGCACCAATACAGTCAATAAGTGATCCCGCCAAGAAAAAAACAGACCTGCTCCACCAGCCCCTCCGGAAGGGCTCACTGAGGGGACAGGGATGGTGTCAGAGAGTCTGGAGTGCACCTTTTTTCTCTGCCCCGCCCCCTCCCCCTTTTTTTCTTGTTTTTTTTTTTTTTTTTTTTTTTGAGCCATCTTTTCACTTCTTGCTTCTGGGCTTGGAGCTGCCACGGCCCAGGGCGCCCCCCGGGGCCCGACTGAGGCTGCTGCGGGCTCCGGTGCCTCTTATCACAGCCCCCCTCTTCCCTTCCCGCCGCGTGGGTAACGCAGAGGGGCGGTGGTTTGCATGTCACTCTCCAGTAGTAATTCCTCTTCCAACTTGCACACCTTGCTTCTGGCCGCCAGCTGAGCCCCTGCCGCCAGGAGGGCTGCCCACCACCGGGGCCAGCCTATCCCCGCAAAGAGGCACCCGGCTTCCTGGCCAGCCCTTCGCAGTCTTACGTCCTGGGTCAGCCTAGCCAAGCGCGCTGCAGCTTTCGGGGCAGCCAGCTCGGTTCTCCCGCCAGCCGCACGCACCGGGGAAGCGGGCCACAGAGCTCTGCACACACCGCTGCGGCCTCATCTCCCCGTCGGTCCCTCTTTTTCCCAAACTATTTCTTTGTAATCCTAACTACTACACCGAATATTTTGTCCCGCCAAACCTGCAGCTGGAATCATCCCCCCAAAAACGGCAAAAGGGGGAGCTCCCACAGTGCCCTAAACCACCCTGAGATGGGGCTGGATGGGATTCCAGAGAAAGAAGCACTAAAGGCCAGGGTCATCAGTGAAAAGCATTTATTAGAACTTACTTACAGAGGGCTACAGAAATCTTCCCCACCGATACCTGGAGAGAAGGGGTGCTCTACCTGGGCATGTCCGCAGTGAGGGGGTCAGGGTATGGAGTTTGTACGAGGTTTAAGGAATTTTGCTCAGGGCTGGGACCAGTTTCTTTCAGTGTTTTGGGCAACAACCTAGATACTTTATCAGTGCCTGGGAATGATCAAGGACTTCGTTTGGGTTCAAGCCTGCTGGGAAAAACCTGCAGCTGGCTGAAGTGCTGGCCTCCAGCACTCTGTGATTTTCCAGAGTGAAAATCAGGACATAGTCCACAGGAGCTTCCCCTTCCAAAGCCACTGATTGCCATTGGTGTTCTTGCATACATAGATTTGGCGACTTTTAATTGAAAAGCAATCATAACAAGGAAATTCTCTGATTCTTTTTCTTTCAAAAGTGAGGGGAAACCAGTTCTTTCAGAGGTCACCCACAGCAGAAGATTAAGTATAATCTCAGTCTCTTTGCCTGTTTTAGGACACAGAAAGAAGCAGGGGTGGAGAGTAACTGGGGGACCCTACAAAGCCATTTCCTCGCTCACCAGTGAGCCCTTCTTACTAGCTGCCCAGCCCTGACCTCCCATATTGGTCCTGCTCAAGTTTGAAATGACAATCACCGGAAAATCTCAAAATTATTATCACTATGGATATCCTCATGTGTGACATTTCCTCAAAGTAATATCCCTCCCTTTTCCTAAAATATCCTCTCCTCTGTCTTCCTCATACTTATTTTTAAATATACTTATTTTTAAGATTTTAGTTTAGGTTCCATTTCTCTGTGAAATTTTCCTCCTTTCCACTACAAAGTCTCCTGCATTACAGTTTTCAAACTTTCCATTCTAATGGCCATATATCTAAATGTCTTTTTAAAAGACCTAATTTATCTGCTTCATATTTAGAGAACATCTATAGTACAAGTGCAGTGAAGGCTGATTTAGCAAATTTCTAAGTCGTGTACATCTATGAACTATTAACATTGATTTAATGTGGCAGAAAGAACATTGGCTCTGGGTTCAAATCCTGCTTTTCCTACTTTCTCATACATGATCTTTGAAAATCCTTTCACCTTTACAAATGTGTATGTTTACTTGTGAAGTTATAATGCACACCTGGTAGGTATAAGTGTGAATT